GGCTATCCTATGGGGATACTCATAGGTCCTCAAGGGCTATCCTAGCGGGGTACTGATTGGCCACCAAGGGCTATTATATTGTGATAGCCATAGGCCCTGAAGGGAGTAAGGCAATAGGGAGATAAGGCTGCAAGGAACATAAGGCTATAAGGTTGAAGGCTACATGGCGTATAAAAATATGTGCGACATGAGAGTACGAGGCCGTAGGGCTATCTCTCTATATACATAATATCGAGCTTCTGTATGTATTTTACCGGATGAAAAGTTAAATGTCTGAGGTCATGCCTTAAAGAATAAAACAGCCGTGCAGTATGCATGGGTTCTCGCTAGTTCACTACATATTAAAGGCCATTTGGACTTCGTGAAGTTCTTTAGGCTATAATAAGATCAAAAATTTACGCTCAGCATAGTAAAAAAATAAGCACTGGTCAATAATGCAGTTATTTTCCCGGAACTTTCCTTCGAGTTTTAATTTGCTATTTAGTAGAGCATGTCATCATTTATCTTCAGTGAATGCGCAAAGATGCGTGTTTAAACATTTGTCGAGATATAGTGTCTCAAATGTACCTTTCTATCAAAATTTGTTGACAATTTTTATACAGTGATCACTCATGTTCTAATCCATCGAGTTTCGAATAGATAAATAAATAGCATACCTACACTAACCTCAGGTTTTAGATTGGCCATTTCATTTTAAAATCGGTTCTTTGACTCTTTCGTAGGAATTAAATATATGAAAAAATCATGCATAGGTTTCCTTGTAAGACGTACATTCCCAAACAAAAATCTTTCCCCTCTTTATCTTTTTATGATGCCAAACTTTGTATTAAATTTATTACTGAGTAGAGATATGGCATTAAAGTTTTATTTCATTTTAGTGTACAGATCACATTAATAAAATTCTCATGTCATATCTTTACTCAGTAATAAATTTGATGCAAAGTATGTCAGCATAAAGAAATAAAGGGGGAAAAGACTTTTGTCTGAGAGTGTAAATTATTTGTTTCATACTTTTATAATTTTCCTTTTCGTAAAAATACACTAAATTGCACGATCTTTCTAAATTTCGTCCGAGACAGCTAATGTTAGTGGAAGTGAATAATTTTCGTAATAAGAGCTAACAAAGATTGCAATACATACTATGAATATCGAGAAATTTAGGTTTTAAACAGAACTTCAGAAAACATGAAATATTCAGAAACTCATTTCAATACGTTTCAGAACATATTACAGAATGATGTCAAACTTCGCATAACATTTATAAAAATGTTCTTCAACATACCAGAGAGACATTGCTGAAACTCGCAAAATACGATAAACTGACCGGAAGTATTTCTGTCATTTCGTTTTTTTGTGACAAACGTCATAGCATCAGTGAGCTCATTTACATGCCACAACTAGACTTGTGTCAAACGTGAACATTTGAATTTGATGAATTTTGCTTCAATATTTGTTGATTCGAGTTTGGGCACTTTTTCCATCCTCATTTGTACATTTTCAAAATATTATTTGATGCAGAAATAAAAATTAAAAAAAAACACTGTATCTTCTATATAAGCATTTACCTAGATAAGACTATTAATTGAGCTTGACTGTTATTTGTGCCTAACATCAGCCAATCAGATCATAAACGGCCGGTATTATCAAAAACAAAAATGCAACTGTAGAATCAATCCTCATTACAGATTATATGGCTTTCTAAAAAGTTTAGATTACCAAGTATGTTTTAGTTTGTTCCTCTTATATGCAAAACTCTAGCTCTTCTGAGTTGTATGCATCGCCTACTTACTAATTTTTTAATAATTTGCTATCCAGAGGGTTTTTCCAAGTAATAAACTACTAAAACACATTTTGTTTCTACAGATGTTTGACATATACGTATATGTGGGCTCCACTATAACCAAGCAGTGAGTTTTTCCTTAAAAGTCTTAAGATTTTACAGTAGAGGTAACTCGCACATTAAGATGAAAATCGAATGAAAGCTATAAAATGATGTCTAATTTGCACCCTTATTATTTTTTTCTGCAAGGATTCAAAAGTTCGAAACAAATTATTGATGATAACCTGTTTCAGGCTTTTAAAGAGTAATTAGTTCATGGTAGATTTATATAATACATAGTTAATAATTGTATCAAGTATATGAAAAAAAATTGTTGTCTCATTTTTGCTAAACAACATTATAATGAAACAACTATTTTTGATTGTGCTAATTTGCAGTTTTCGACAGTCGAAAACTTCATTTTCCAA